TTCTTCAGAGAAAGGCAGACGCAGAGGCCTGTCAGTGTCTGTTGAATTTCGTTTTGACAATCTAAACAAACATGAAACTTTTAGTCTGACTGACTGTGGGAAAAATGCTTCTGTGTGTATTATTTATATACTGTGTGTAAATATCTGCTATTTGATTGTTAACAGACTTTAAAGACAGATTGAATTGATTACGTAAAATATATTATTAATATTATCAAGGATCAACTGATGTCATGGTCACTGTTTATTTATGATTATTTATTTGTACAGATAAAGTAAAGAATGTGCACAAACGCCACCAATCAGACCAATCAGACCGATGCTCATTGCACCTACAGCGACCTGGAGGGTTTGGGTTACAGTCTTGTGTTTCTCCTCGGTTTCGTCATCAACGGCGCTACTCTGTGGGCCTTCGTCGCAAAACGGGCCTCCTGGACCGACACCCACATCTACATGCTGAACTTGGCTCTGGCTGACTTTCTCCTGGTCCTTTTCCTTCCCTTCCGGATTTACGACGCCTTTTTCTGCCTGCCCAAGACTTGGCTCTGCACTATCCTAATTTTTATTCACTACATCAACATGTACGCCAGCATCCTGACCACGACAGCCATCAGCCTCCACCGCTACCTGACCATCAGGTTCCCGCTGCAGGCCAGATCATGGAAGAGGAGGAAGGAGGCAGCTGTCGCCGTCTGCTTGCTCATCTGGGTGTTTCTGATTTCAGTTGTTGTTGTTTTTCACAAGGTTAACCTTCCTGAAAAACTCTGGTCATGCTATGAAAGATGTAAAAATAACAGAATCAGTCCAGAATTCACCTCGATCCTGTTGTCTCTCGGCTACCTGGCTCCTCTGCTGATAATTGTGTTCTGTTCCAGTCGGATCATCTGCATTTTGGAGAAAGAGCAGGAGATGTCAGAGGGAAAGAAAAACATTGTTGGGATAGTGAAAGCAAACATGATTGTGTTTTTTGTCTGCTACACGCCATTCCACATTGCGTTTACAATCAACTTCTTTTCAGAGGTGCCACCAAATTGGACGCCGTTCACTTATTTACCAGCTCATGTGTTTCTACAAGTGTCTGACTGGATCGCTTCCACAAACTGCTGCTTTGATTCCATCAGCTACTATTTTTTATTAAAAAAAATTTACACATAAATTAGTGACTGCTACTTTTTCAACAGCTTGCAGAGTTATGTAAATGTTTCAAATACTGCACAGTTTCCTGTTCACCTACTTTTACCGCAGTGTAGATGTGCAGCGATGCTCGGAATAAATTCATCTTCTGTCGCAGCAATATTAGAAGTTTGTTGGGGGAGGTCTCTTTCTGTTGTGAATTTGTAGTTTTCATATTTATTAGTAGTCAATGAGCAGGCCACCAGTCTATCACAAAATGGTCAAGCAGATAAAGGATGAGATGAAGGGGTTTCAGTGAGAAAAGTACATATTAACTTCAGGACAAAACACCTTGTAAGGTTGCGGGCTGAGTACCAGAGTCATTATCTAAGTAAAACTGCTTCTGGACCAGCATGGACTGATGGGCCACTTAGAGTGGAAGAGACAATAATTATAAGATCAACGTATAAAACCACATGCCTTGTGGCCTCATGAAACTAAAATTACAATGTTCATCCATCAAGACAATTGTCACATGCGGAGACAAAAGGGAACAACATGCCAAGCATTTAGTACAAGGTGTTGCAGAATGTGTGGGTGTTTTGCTACAAGGAGAGACTGGTGCACCTCACAAAATACTTGGCATCATGAGAAAAAAAAAAAAAACATTCTGTGAAGATGTTAAAGTAAAGACACCACCCGGTAAGTTAAGTGGGTCATCCAAATAAGCACCAAGTGGTTACAGACAATAAAGTCGATGTTTTATAGAGCCCATCATAAAGCCCTGATCTCAGTATCATACACCCTTATAGTGCAAAGTATCTGTTTGCTGTAGGAATCCGCCAAAACTATTTTAGACTGTGAGACACTTGTGGAACAATACCAATAGAGTTTTATTTTAGTCATACAGTCTAAAGCCAAAGTGGCAAATGGAACTACTAAACTTAAAGAAAGTAACAACCCCCATCTGTTTTCATAGTGTATGTTAGAAAAGCTTGGTTCGACACGTGAAACACTTTAAACTTTTGATCCTCTCAGTGATTTCCAAAAACCTGTAGAGCTATTCTGGACCTCGACTCTTCGCACAGCAGCAGCAGCCTGCGTCATGCGTGACACCTCGGACAGCCAATGCTCACTTAACACAATTGCACCCATGGGAGCGATTCTCCTTTCCTTAAAGGTTGCATTCAGCATCCAGCTCCCTCTAGTGGCACAGGAATTATGTGTGCCAAAGGCTCAGAGTCTGTTCAGAGGATTCTCACCCTAAATGCACCTATAAATGTGTTTTTGTGTAACCGCACAGTGCATTCAGAACCACACAGGATGACATGAGCGCTCAATTACATAATGCCATTTAATAGCAGTACTGATTATTATCAACTGCAGTGTAGTGACTGCAAAAAAAGACATTACAGGCATCAGTCAAATGAGAAGGTTGAGCAGCGACTGAGGTCGGGCCTTCAATCCTAATCTAAGAAACTGAAGGAGACGGCTAAACTCTGCGCTTAGCGAAAGTCACATCAGGTCATTTTACATACGTTTTATTCACAGCATTGTCACCGAAAAAAAAAAAAAAAAATCTTTCGCAGTCTTGTCTTAAAAGACAGAGGACAGCGACATCCCTTCCCCCCAATAAACCCAATACACGATACATTCAGGATGATTATTTACACTATTCACAAATGATACAGACAGCTCCTTCAAAATAATAATAATAATAATAATAATAATAATAATAGTAATAAAAAACTAAAGAAACAATGACAGAAATTTGTGCTTTTCATTATTATCGCACAGTATGATGACCACAAAGAAAAACAAAATGAGCACATTCACTAATCAGGTTGGAGATCTCTCGGTACGGCAGTTTGGTTGGCAAAGAAAGATAATCACTAGACTGCGAACAAACAACAAAAAAAAAAACTTCACAAACGAGTCACACAGTGTTCCCTCGATGCGTTTTGCAGTCCATTTGAAGGTTTGCTTGTAAAGTATTCAAGAATCGTCGTCATAAAAACGTGAGCTGAACACACAGTTCATGTCATCTGGGAGGGAGTACAGAAACACTGCAACCGTAGCGGGCATGACAAGTAGAGTCAGTATTCAATCATACATATTTACAGTGTATGGCATGAAGAGTTAAAGTAGCATTCGGCAACAAAGAGGGGAGCTGAAAAAAAATGATCTCAACAGTACAAGCCAAAATTTTGTAAAAAAAAAAAAAAAAAAAAAAGAAGAAAACATTCAGCATGTAAGGTCAAAGGCATACATATCACAAGTATACTGCAATTAGAGAGTTCTTCAAAACCACAGTACATGAGAAAGGTGCACTGCTGACTGAAATGGACTTCATCATGGCACTTAAAGACGTTTCTCTCAGTTTTTTTCTGTTTTTTTTTTTTTTTTTTTTTTTGCTTCTGTAGGATCAGGCATCAGTAAGTCTTCCATCAGCTGGGTTTGGCACAACGATGTGAAAAAGACACACTTGTGACTCGGTGAGATCCATCTTAGAGCCAGTTGATATGAATCATTTGGATATAAAAACATTAATGGCATGAAAAATGTTCTGCCTTGCAAGCCTGACGCCTGCCTATATATGTATATATGTATATATATATTTTGGAGCTACAGTCTTACATTATCATTTAGTCTAAATCAAAGTTTCATATGTACATTTAAAGTATATATTGCTGCCCAAACAACCAGCATTCATTGGTCAAGTAACAGACTAGGACTGACGAATCAAGCCTTCTTGTAAAGTTATGATCAAGTTTTATACAGTGCAGATAACGTTTAGTGGCACCCCTAAACATATGTTTGAAACTTTAAAATAAATAAATATTTTATAGCAGCTGGATGAGCTCACACAAAAAAGTTTAGAAAAATGCACCCTTTAATTTAAGGGTGTATTTGTTAAGGGGGGGGGATTAGTTTTTAATAAAACATTCAGTGAAACATGATGGTAGTTGTGACAATCCCTTTGAAAATACACTTATTTGACAGTTTTTTTTTTAATTGCTTTGTCTGATTAGAGTTTTACAAACTTCCAATAAATCACCCAGGCTGTTGAGGAGGATGGGAGATTAAAAAAAAAAAAGAGTGGCATTTTGGGAATCACCAAAATCTTTACAAAAACTTTTAGATGCTATTTTTATGTCAACTGCTTGACTGGAAACAGTTTCGGAAAAGAGCCTTTGCTTTCAGCATGAATGTAAAAAGTTGATGTTTGCTGAATTCATTGGGAGTTATACGTAGCCACATGCTGTGGGCAGATGACTACTTTCACACAGCATGTCTGTATGCTCAATTTCAATTTTTTGCAGAAATCCTTTTTTTTTTTTTTTTTTGCGTGGTTGTTCATGCTACCAACTAAATGCGACTGCAATCAGACTTCTGTGTAAACGCGACCCACATGCACAGAAGAAGAAAGCAAATGTTCACACAGCAGCACATTTTTACAGAATAATGGAACTAAAATTGTCTGTTGATTAATTTCAAAGTTATTCAGCGATGGGAACTGACAGGATCGCCACCAGATCATAACAAAACGATAGAAGCTAACAAAAGACTTCTGTAAACTCGTCTGTCTGGATTTGTGCAAGGAGTGGTAAGATTGTGATGTGATGCGCTCCGCTGACGCAGACTTTTTTCACAAGTTTCATAAGTCGAGGAGCGCCTTTGACTTAATCTGTCAGTGCCTCTCCTTAAGACTCGACAGAACACTCATCTCCAGAGACATACAGGTCAGATAACACCTGACATAACGTTTCAGACCGCAGACACTCTGAAAACTATCGGATGCTAATCTGATTTTGTGCCATGCGTGGTGGCACGAAAAAGTCAGACGTGGGAAAATCCAGATTTGGGCTTGCATTTGCTTAGTTTGAGCAACAAAATAACTCTATGTGGGTATAGAGTGAAATAAGAAATGAACAGGTGAGAAATTGATGCATGCAAATTGCTAAATGCAGTGATAGACCCTATCACTGAAGGGTCTATTTCTCTTCAATGATAGAGTCCACATAGTCATGGACTTGAGAAGAGAAATGTTGCATTAAAATTGTTTGTCACAAAGGAGATTCTCACAACCAGTTGCACACATGCTAGAGAAAACCTTCATAGCTAGAAAGCTATATTAGGAGAGTCAAAAGTTACAGCAACTATATTAGTTCCTGTCTGCTGTATCTCTCATTGAACTTCTTGGACCAGCTCTGATCCCACTGAAAACCTGTGGGGTTGAACTGAATAAAAGAGAGCATATGGCAAAAACATTTGAGTCTGTCATAAGAGAAGTCTATTTCCCATCCTACTGGCAAACTATTAACACCCAGAGTACCAAAAACTGTGGCCCCCTCTGAGTCTGACAAAACTATTATTTCTTCACAATTTAGGATTTTTCAAAGGTTTTCAGAGGGATATTATGTTACCACAGTAAATGATGAATTTATTTTCAGCCTTTCTCTCTGTCTTTACCAGGGGTGCCAATAAAAGCCTCCAGTACTGTATCTTTAGTCTCTGCTGTAATGTGAAGCTGCAGTGTGTAGCTCTAAATGTAGAATGCTTTCACAGCACAGGACACTTTGATAGGTTGAATATACAGTTCCACTTGGCGGCGGGGGACATTTCCATTCCCCCTGCTGCCTCCGAGTTGAGCCAGAGATTTCAATCATTATCACTGTAACTGTCACATTGTACCGTATCACATCCAACAAGGACCTTGACCCACTGTAGGGCTACAAAGGAAATATGCCCAAAAACCAGGCTGGGCTCTATAAATATCACTAACCCAAGTGTTTAAAAGGAGACTAAAACCCAAATGACGGAAAAGGTCTTTATATATTGCAGCGATTTGAGTTTCTTCTCAGAACAACACCTCTGATTCCCCCCACCCCCCTTATGTCCTCAATTCAGCAAAGGCTTTTCCACATCCGTCCAATGGCGTGGCGCAGTCCCACCAGGCGTCCTTGAGGAATCATTGGTCATTAAAAAGAACGGGGCGTGTGTGTGGTGGGAGGTGGTGTGGTTCGGGGGGGAGATGGACAGCTGAGATGCTGTCATTACACAGAGGGTGCAGTTGGCAGGAATAGTGCTGACACTTCAGTGCTGCACTCTGCTCTCCACAGGCGTGAGTTATGGTCCCATATCCCTGCATGTTAGAGGCATTTGGCACACAAGTCATGCTTTTTCGTAGAATATATGGGGTCCACCTGTACAGTCACGTGTAAGTTCTATGTGCGTAGCAAGGTGAGGGAGTATAAAAAGGAAATCAGGGAGGGATTTGCTTAGACTCATCTGTTCAGTCCCAGTGACTGCCTGTTGATTCACCTCCGGCTTTAGATACTTAAATAGTCTTCGGAGTTTGCAATTTTGCTTCAAGTACCTTGTTGGCAATCAGAGTGACAGGAAATACACTTAGGAACAGATGGCTGGCAGTCTCTGTAATGTCAGAGAAGGGACAAAGCATCCAGTCAATTTGCAGAAAGGAAGGCATTCTTTAAATCTTTGTCCTTATCCCCAGTGCTCCCGGTTTGGTTTTCTTTCCATCTCTTTTTTCCCTCCATCCCCTCCTCTCTTTCTCATCCCAAAGAGCTGGAGGGAAAGGCAACTCTGCATTGCAGACACAGCAACAACCTCAGCCGGTCTGACCAATTAATGAGAGCGAGGATATGAGTGGCAGAGCCAGCAGCCAGTTGAAGGCAAAGGCTCGTTACGGGGTGAAGAGGTTTGCCTGAGAGAGTGAAAAGAGAGAGGAAGCTGGATGACAGTGAAATATAGATGTAGAGAGTGGAGGATGGAAAAGGGAGGGAGAGGGATTGACAGAATGAGGAGAAAGGAGAGAGATTCATGGAAATTTAACGGCGCGCTCCACACATGGAAGGAATGCTTCACTTCCTCTGAAATCACTGGCCTGCCTGAGTCCTATCACTGCAGTTTTTCTTGCTCATCAGCTGGCTGAGATCCACCAGCTCCCCCAGCTCCCCCCGCTCCAGAGCTCCTCTCAGCAGAGCCCTGCTCAGGCCTGGTGTGTGTTGCTGGGACATGTAGGCCTGACCACCGGGAGGGGGCATGGTGGGCGGCGGCAGGGGGACGGGGACCATCCCATGGCTGCTCAGGATGTACCCTTCCGGGGCCGGCCAACGCAAGGGCAGCGGCTCGCTGTACTCAACAGGGGCACTTGGTGCCGAGACTACCCTCCTGCGCTCAGGAGAGTCCTGAGGGGTCATGGGGTAGACATATTCTCCTGCAGACTTCCTAACGGGGGCCCTGGGGGTGCCTTTCCCTCCTTTTTCTTGTTTGCTCAAGCAGACATAGTGCTGACGTGGCGTGTCGTTCCCCCGTCCCTCACCGCCATGTCTCCCCCCTCCACCCTGCTGAAAGAGTCTAGTGGTCAGGTAGACAGAGGGCGGCATGCGGCAGGGCGAGCCCAGACCAACAGACCCTCCGCCAAGGTACGTCTGGCTGGTGTCCCAGCCTCCGGAGTTGGAGTCAGACAGTCGTAGGCCTCTGCGTTTCTGCTGCGGGGTGTGCTCAGGAGTGGGCAGGAATCCCGGGTCGAGCTCTCCCGATTTGACCCAGCCGTTGGGCATAACAAACAGGGTCTCCCCACCCTGTGAGCACGAGCGCTCGCCACCTCCCTGCCTCGTGACGCTCAGCACAGAGCCGGCCATCCCGCCGGAGTTACTCAGCAGGCCCCTCTCCCGCCGCTGGATGGAGGACTGGGAGCTGCCGCCGTGACGACGGTTGGCAGGTTTGTGGGCCATGATCCAGCACACGGCGAGCCCGGAGAGCGCCGCCCCAATGGTGAAGGCCGAGACCGCAGACGCGACAAGGAGATTGAGGGAGACCAGGCTCTCTGGCTCAATCAACAAACTCTGCTGCAGAATTCCTGCATGATTGAGAGACATAAT